CTGGCGTGGCAGCAGACCCGAGGCGAGATCGGCAAGTGGGCGATCAGCAACACCAAGGGCTCCATGAAGGGTGCCCACCGCTACCTGAAGCAGCTGGAGCAGCGGGCGCTGGCGGAGACCTGTGCGGACCCTGCAGGGCAAGAGGTGCGTGACACGGTGCAGAGGACCACGGAGATCAGAGCGGCCCGCTGGGCGGAGCGATGGACGCCCCAGTCGCATCGGTTGCCTGCGATCCGCGCTGCCCTCGGTGAGCTTCGCACTCGCGCCCGCGGTGAGCTGGCGCAGCGGCCTTGCCGCGACCGCGACAGATTGGTGCAGGCGCTGCGCTCTTTTCCGAAGACCACGGGCAAGGGCTCGGACCAATGGGTGCCTTCCCACAGCCTGGCGCTCCCCGACAAAGGGCAGGAGGCCTTCGTCGCGCTCCTGAACATGATCGAGCGCAGCCTTGCGTGGCCGCACCAGCTACTCCACAACTGGTCCGCCCTGCTCCCGAAGGGCTCTAAGCAGGAGATTGGCAGCGAGCGTGGCATCGGCCTGCTGCCCATGCCCGTCCGCATCTGCGGTCGCGTGACCAAGGCCCCGCTGACCGAGTGGTGCGACGCGAAGGCCGCGCATTGGGACGCCGCCGTCGAGGGCAGCAACGCGCCCCAGGCCGCCCTGCTCACCATGGTGCTGGACGAGACCAGGGCGCGCATGGGCATCAATGAGCAGGGCAATTTCTTGGCCGACGCCGAAAAGTTCTACGACCACGTGGATCTGGGACTCATGATCCGCCAGGCCCTGGACCTCGACTTCCCGCCCGTCGAGCTCTACCTGCGCTGCCTCACCTACCTGGCCCCGCGAGTGGTGAAGGCCAATGGAGCTCACGCAAGCGCAATCATTCTCAACTGCTCCATCGTGCCTGGATGCGGGAAGGCCAATCATTGCGCCCGAGTCTTCCTCTGCCGACTACTCGAGCAAGCACATGCTCAAGCCCCACTGGCCAGAATTCGACACTACGTAGATGACGCCCACGCCAGGGTTGAAGGATCAGGGCATTTGTTCTTGGAGCAGACGAAGCACGTGTCAGGTGCATTGGTCGAGGGAACGCTTGCCGTAGGCCTCAAAGTCTCGCCAAAGTCCCTACTGATGATGACCAACTCCGGGCATGAGGACCAGGTGTTGAAGCAAGTCGCCGAAGCCACGGGCATCCACCTCAAGAAGACGAAGTGGGCCAAGGACTTAGGAGTTGACTTTTCCATGGGGACGCGAAGGGCGCGCTCTACATCACGAGGGCGCATGACCGTGGCCCAGGCGAGAGCTACCCGCACATGTCTCTTCCGACGACTTGGTCGTGGCAACGAGAGGACCAAGGGCATCATGCTGCATGCCACAAACATCAGAGCGAAATTCAGTTACGCGGACCCCGTCTTGGGCATCTCTCCTTCGGAAGTGGCGCGTCGGCGAGCCCAAGCCGCCGACCTTGCTGGACGCGCGGGACGCGCGGTGGGTGGGCGCTGCACCGCGACCATAATGCTGATGCGCTACCAGGACGACGAGCCCAGGATGAGCGCGGTCACGGATCAGGTCAAGCATTGGTTGCAGTTCTGGCGCGCCCATCCTGAGCTCCATGAAAGAGTGCGTAGAGGTTGGCTGGCTGTACTACGCAGGCTGATCTACCTGAAAGCGAGAGCACGTTGGCGATGGGCTACTGGTCCGATGGGAGCACTCATTCTCGCGCTGCGTGATCTTGGATGGGTACCGCGCGCGCCAAACATATGTGTAGATGAGCACGGGGATGAATGGCAGTTCGAGGCCGGCAGCGAGTTCAGGGACATCCCCAAGGCGCTCCGCGCAACCATCCGCAGGGCGCTCTGGCGGCAGGCTGGAGATCATCCGCTGGGCCAGGGGCTCGCTGAAGGCGGAGGCCTCCACATGCTTCGGGACAATGTGAGGAAGATGAGGAGACAAGGGCGACTGGCGGAAGCGGGAGCCCTGGAAGCTAATTATTTGGCCACCTTGGCCAGCATCTGGACACAGTCACGAGCAAAAGCTGCAGGATACAAGGTCGAAGACGATGACTGCCAGCGCCGCTCCCTGGCCAAGGACACGATAGCCCACCGCCTGTGCGACTGCCCGCAGAACGAGCTGATAGAGCACGAGTGGGTAGCGCGCACGGAGCGCTTGTGTGAGGTTGCGAAAACAGATTTAAGCGAGGGCGAGAATGTAGGCTTCTGGACCAGAGGGATAGCCCTTGCGGAGTGGAACCCCGTGCCCCCAGTCTGGGACTCGGGTCTGGGGCAGGATGTGTGGGCCGTGGGTCTCCCTCCGCCCGACCTCGACTCCTCTTTCGACCTCCCCCCCTCGGATCTCTACCCCCATCAGGGTCCAAGGAGGATTTTTAGACGGCTCCGCCGCGCCCAGTGACGCCCGAGTTTGCCGCGAGGGTTTGGGGGTGCACTTCCGCGGCGAAGGGGGGGCTGACCTGGACGTGGACCAGGGAACTCCCCGAGGGCTGTACGGAACCATTGACGGGGCGCAGACAGTGCCCGCTTCGGAACTGGCGGCCCTCTGCTGGGCTTTGAAGGCTACCAAGGGCCCGAGCCTGTTCTGGACGGACTGCCAGTTTGTTTTCGACGGATGGAACCTAGGCCTCGGAGGTCGACCCCAGGGGCCCCTCGCAAGGTGGTGGTTCAGAGTTCGGCGCGCCTCGAATCGAGAGGCGAAGGAGCTGCTGTCCTTCGTGAATGTTTTTTTTTGCACCTAGACGCTGAGTCCCACGCCCGAACGGGACAGGCGCTAAAAGTTTCTCGTGGGAACGAGATGGCGGGCTCACTGCCCCAGCGCGGGGCCGAGGCAGCAGCGGATTTAAGTAGGAGTCAGGTGAAAGCCCTCTGCCTTGTTGATGCCAGGGCCACCCTGGTCCACCAGGGAATGGGGGCCGTGCTGGCCCAAACTTGCAGCGAGGTCGATAGGACTTGTCGTGGGGAGTATGGGGCGGTTGGGTCGCTTGGGGAACTCACGCGTTCTCAGGAGCTGGAGGCCCGCTCGGGCCATTGTCTCCGTCGTCTGGGGAACGGCCAGTGGTGCTGTACTGCCTGCTGACAGTCCCCAGGGCGGTCTTCCGTGGTTGACTGACTGCAGTCTGGAAATTGCTTCGGGGATGAAGCTGCGAGGGACTTCAGCGAGACTGGCCACCACGTCCACGCCCCCCCCCCCACCTTGGTTAGAACCCTCCGCGTGGGCGGCAGATCGGTGCACCCCTCGCACTCTACCGCCATGCAGCACGGCCTGGCGTGGTGTTGGGGATGCGCCCGATATGCGACCATCGTGGGATGTAAAGGCAGGCTGTGCAAGCTCGTTGACGAATGCCCTAAGGTATGTACGCCTTCGGGGCGCACCATGCTGAACCGCCTCCGTTTGGGCAAGCCCCCGAAATCGGGGATGTCATGGCCCATTTCCCCCGCTGGGGGAGCCAGCGGACCTCCGTTGCCTGTGGTGGATAGCTCGTCCAAGGATTTTGGGAGGCGAACGGATGGGGAGAGTGGCCGCTTGCCGAGGCACCTTCCCCACCGAAGGAAGCGTTGAATTACGAGTAATTTAACAGGGAGGAGGCGTAGCACTGCTCCGACCTCCTTTGTAGCAGCAATCTCCAGCAATCTCCTCCTCCTCATCTTGTTTCTCCTCCTCCTCTTCCTCCTCCTCCTCCTCCTCATCCTCCTCCTCCTCTTGTTCCTCCTCCTCCTCCTCTTGTCCCTCCTCCTCCTCCTCTCCTCCTCCTCCTCCTCTCCTCCTCCTCCCTCCCCTCTTGTCTGATCCTCCTCCTCCTCCTCCTCCTCCTCCTCCTTCCCTCCTCCTCCTCTCCTCCTCCTCCTCCTCCTCCTCCCTCCTCCTCCTCCTCCCCTCCTCCTCCTCTTCCTCCCCGCCTCTCTTTCCTCCTCTACCCTCCTCCCCCCTCCTCCTCCTCCCTCCTCCTCCTCCTCCTCTCGTTCCTCCTCCTCCTCTCGTTCCTCCTCCCTTTGACCTTCCTTCCTCCTCCTCCTTCTCCCCCTCCTCCTCCCTCCTCCTCCTCCTCCTCCTCCTCCCTCCCTTCCTCCTCCTCCTCCCTCCTCCTCCTCCTCCTCTCCTCCTCTTCCTCCTCCTCTCCTCCTTCCTCCTCCTCCTCTTGTTCCTCCTCCTCCTCCTACTCCTCCTCCTCCTCCTCCTCTCCTCCCTCCTCCTCCTCCTCCCTCCTCCTCCTCTCCTCTTCTCCTCCTCCCTCCTCCTCCTCCCTCCTCCCCCTCCGTCTCCTCCTCCTCCTCCTCCCTCTCTCCCTCTCCTCCCCTCCGTCTCTCCTCCTCCTCCTCCTCCCTCCTCCTCCTCCTCCTCCTCCTCCTCCTCCTCCTCCTCCTCCTCCTCCTCCTCCTCCTCCCCGGCAGGGCAGGGTCCACTTCCATCCGATCGATCCGACTCGATGCTGGGGTCGTCCATTTCGAGCCGATTCGGCTCCGATCTTCCTTCGAGCCGATTTGGCCCGACGCCCGCGCGGCGCGGTTGTGCGTCCTGGCGCGGCCGGTTCGTTTCGATTCCGATTCCGCTCCGACCTGCATTCCGATGCTCGGAGAAGAGAAAAGCGCCAACGTGGATCGGATTTTTTGGATCCGCGCTGAGCCCCCCCTGGCTGCGCCTCCGGCACCGCCCCTGGCGCGCGGCGCGTTCCGCGCGTCAGGGAGTGAGGTCCAGCGCAGATCCAAGAAATCCGCGCGGAGCGCCACAAGTCTATATCTTTATGGCGTTTGTGTTATTCTTCCAGAGTTTAAGTCGGGTCTGTCCCTCTACAGAGGGGGAATGTTCAAAAATAGTCCAAGCACAGTCTAGGGACGATCTGTTTTTTACTATCTTTGAAAGTTTGTTTGGCATGGTTGGGGTATCTGTTATTTTCCGGCCAGAGTCCGCCTGTAAGGCCGCCTGTAGGGGGACACGCTCGACCTCATCCTGGATGCGACCCCATTCCCCGATTCGACGCTTGCCGATCCTGCCAGGGGTGGTCCCTGCCGCGCGCGGACACCTGCGCCGAGCTCGCCCGGCGCGCGGACGCCCTGGTGCCGGCCGAGGTCCGCGCGCAGGCGCCCCGGCGAGGGCCGAGGGCCGGCCGGCGTGGGGCCTCCTCGGTGCACCTCCGCCGCTGGCCAACCTCCTGCTGCTCCTGCTGGGGGCAGGGGGAGGGGGAGGAGGAGGAGGAGGAGGAGGAGGAGGCTTCTGGCGCAGTGGGGCTGCGTGGCGACCAGGCGCCTGCCGCGGTGGCCTGCCCGGGGCTCCTGCTGGAGGGGGGGGACCCAGACCCCCTCGCATCGTGAACAAAAACATGACGGGAGCTTCTCGGCAATCGCAGGGGGGCTTCGAGGCCGCCAAACATCGACGCGGGGTGACAAAACGGTCTTGGGGAATGGGTGGAGACCTCTGGGGGGCAACGCCACGAAAAGATCATGACGTCGGGGGTCTGGGGACGTGGAGGATCGTGGATCCCAGAGGACCAAGATGCGTGTACCAACAGCGCTGCTCGTCCTGGATAGCCCTCGTCGCCCTGGCTGGATTATCATCGCGATTCTGGTCTGAATGCACCCTGGGAGAGGTTTGGGGAGTTGCGGTATCGGTATACATTGATTCCCCAGGGTCGAGGATCGAAGATGTCTTTTGCTGCCTGTTTAGTTCTTCTGAGCCCGTGCGAGCCTTCATTTCTGTTTCAATTCTCTATGCCTCTCGTTTTCTTCTGCGCTTGCCTCCAGTCTTCCTCGGGCCACACCGCCCGAGTCGGCCGCCTCCTGTTGCTTTGCCGCTCAGACGCTGCGATCATCGTCTGATCATATTCCGTGCAACGTCCAAAGGGATGGTCGAGGATCGGGAGGAGGATGAGGAGGAGAAGGAGGAGGAGGAGGAGGAGGAGGAGAAGGAGGAGGAGGAGGAGGAGCAGAAGGAGGAGGAGGAGGAGGAGGAGGGGGAGTCGGGGAGGGGGAGGAGGGGAGGGGAGGAGGAGAGGAGGAGGAAGGAGGAGGAGGAGGAGGAGGAGGAGGAGGAAGAGGAGGAGAAGGAGGAGCGATCATCATCTTACCGTGGAGACAAAAGGGGTCCTGGAGGCAAGGGGTCACGGAGCCTGTCGCCGGGCTCGGCCTCCGAGGGCCCTGGAAGGGCCCCGGATGGGCTTGGTCCCAGGGCAAGTCCCGAGGCGCAGGCTTCGTTTCCCAGCAGCACACCTCCCCCCACATGCCAACGTCCTTCTCCCCCCCGCGCTTTCCGCTCCTCCTCATCCTCCCTCCTCCTTCCTCCGCATCCCCTCCTCCTCCTCCTCCTCCCAATCCTCCTCCTTCCTTCCTCCTCCTCACTCCTCCTCCTCCTCTCCTCCTCTCCCTCCTTCTCCTCCTCCTCCTCATCCTCCTTCCTCCTCACCTCTCTCCTCTCCTCCTTTCATCCTCCTCCTCCTCCCGCCCCCTCCTCCTCCTCCTCCTCCCCCTCCGTCCTCCTCCTCCTCCTCATCTCCTCCTCCTCCTCCTCCTCCTCCTCCTCCCTCCTGCCTCCTCCTCCTCCTTCCTCCCTCCTCCTTCCCCTCTCCTCCCCTCCTCCTCCTCCCCCTCCCCCTCCTCCTCCTCCCACTCCCCCTCTTTTTCCCCCTCCTCCCCCCCCGTCTCCTTCACCCTTCCCCCGCCCGATCTCCTCCTTCATTCCTTCCTGGGCCGTCGTTTCGCGCTCCGGCCGCGCGGCGGTCCGTGCCTCCGCGCCGCAGGTGCGCATGGACGCGCCGCGCACCTTCCAAGCGCTGCCTCCAGGCCGCGGGGGCGTTGCAGGGCGGAGGTCGGCGGCGGACAGAACCCCCACCCCGACACTCAAGCAGTTGCGAATCTAGGGGGCCACATGCGACCCCTACCCCTACCCCCCACGATTTCTGAGGGGGAGGGTGGGGTTCACTTCGCTCAGGAGCTCCCGAACAAAGTGAACCCCACCCTCCCCCTCAGAAATCGTGGGGGGTAGGGGTAGGGGTCGCATGTGGCCCCCCAGAAGCGTCCGGGCTCGCCTTTTGCCCTGCCAAACAATTGGTTCCTCGAAACGTTCTCAAAGCATTTCTGGCGGAGTTTGTTTTGTTTGAACACATCGGGTTTATGTTCCAAGAACTTTGCTTTGTTCTAAGAACATGTTTGGGTTCTAAAAACATTCCGTGGTAGGACTACAGGAATGCTGGGACGGTCGGTCCCTGCTCAAGACATGTTGATTCGTGAATTGTCCGTTTCTGGTTCTGGAGAGGGCGCTCAGGGCGTCATTTTCCAGGCTTGCGCCCGCCTGGTTTGGGCCCGTGGTCGTTTTCACCAAATTCGTGAGGGGAAAACACACAGACACAATTCATCGTCGATCCCCCAGGAAAATATGGGAAGTGGGGGGGAAGACGAAAACCAAGAAAATATGGGAACATGTGGGGAAGCCTGTAATATGTGTGTGTATTTATTTGTGTGTCCCAGGGCCCCTTCATGAGCCACGTCTTGCTAAAGGGGGTTCTGTCCATCCCCGAGGAGGGGGCTGCAGCCACTCGGGGCGGGCAGCAAAGGGAGGGAGGGACAGGGGAGAGCTTGAGGGTCTTTCTTGCGGGGGGGGGGGGGCCCGAGATCCGACGCTCCCCCAAAAAAGGATTGGCGCAGGCGATGTTGGGCCGCTTTCGGACTCTGGGGGCGCTCGCCGGGCTTCGGGAGCGTCAGGGAAAGGCCTCGGGGCGGAAAACCGGCCCCAGAGAGAAGTGGTCCGGATTTTCGGGGGCGGAAAAGAGGGGGGTGATGACTAGGGGGGGTGGATACCATGGCGTGGGCCATGATATTTCCTCAGATTTCATGACACCTCTTCTTATTTCATTACGTCCCTGGCCCCCCCGCTGGGCCGCGCACATGCCGCCGGTCAAGATTTGCACCCCCCCCTCTTGGACACCCCCCTTTTGGCTGCTCCCGAGATTTCCGGGGCCCACGCCTCGCCAAACATGGAGCGGTTGGGTGTTTGGGGAGGCGGGCGAGGATCACCAAGATTCAGAAGCGGATCGTCGTCAGGGAGGTTGCAAAGGGGCAGGGATTCTGAGTGAGATGTGCGGCATGGTTTTGGCCAAGGGTCAGGCTGCCTCACCCTTCCTTCCGCTTACCACGATGGTCGAACTTAGGCGCGCAGCTTGAAGTGTTCGCTAACAGTTTGCTGTACTTCTCTTCGCATCGTGCCTTTTCTGCATGCTGTTGCCGACTGAATTTCCAAACATACATTGAACAGTTTGAAACTTCGGACAGGTTTGGGTTTCGAGAGGATGTAAAGTCAACGTGTGCTCGTCGAGCAAGCTATCACAACACACATACAGAAGACAAACTTCCAGAACATATTGATGAATATGAGAAGTCCTGGGATTTGTGTGTCTGTGTTTATGTGTATGTCCCTGGGCCCCTTAAAAATGGAGACTACAACCCCCTGGATTCAGACACCGTGATCGGCACTCTCCGAGGAAATCGCCCACCCGAATCCTCGCTCGTCGGTCGGCCCCTCGGGCTTCGACACTCGACGGGCCCGTGGTCCCGATCCTGGATCTCCGATCGTCGGCCGATCCTCGACGCTCCATGCGGGCCGTCGATCTGCCATCGATCCTTGGTCCTCGTTCTTCGAGCGAGCCTGGGTCGTCGATCCTCGGCCCCGGATATCCGAGCAACGTTGTATCATTGACAGCTACTCCAGATTTCGTAATAAAGGGAGGGGGGTCTCATTTCGGAAGGGGTCTCGTCCAGGCTATCTTGGAGGGCCTGGGGGGGTCTGGGGACGATGTTTTGGAGGGTTCTCCCACGGGGGAGGTCTGAAATGGCTTGTCTTGGAGGGTCCAGACCCCCTCCCTTTTATTACGAAATCTGGAGTAGTCGATCCTAGACCCTGGTTGGTTCTCGATCGATCCTGGATCCTCGATCTTCGGATCGAGGGTCCAGGATCGATCGAGGACCGAAGTTGCAGACTCGATCGAAGACGGGGCCCCAGGTTCCGGGGCTGATGCGCGATCGCGGATCGGTGGTCGATGGACGATCGAAGATTCAGGACGGGAGGACCCTGCACCGACGGAACGAGGATCAGGGATCCAGGATCGATCGTACAGCGGGGCTCCAGGATCCAGGTCCGATCAGAGAGTATGGGTCGAGGGTCGGTCGAGGGGATGGAAGAGCCAGGACCGGTCGAGGATCGAAGTCCCGGGGCCGAGGATCGAACATCAGTCGAAGATCGATGATCGATCGAATACCATGGATCGAGGGCTCAGTGCCGATCGAAGGGGGAATCTGCATGACCCAGGGCCGATCCGAGTTCGAAGAGCGAGGGTCGATCGAAGGTCGGATATCGAAGATCGAGGATCCGGGATCCGTGCCTCGCGACCCAACGCTCGCCGTGGACACCCGCCCGGCCCAATCGAGGGCCAGCCGTGGCATGGCCAAGTTTCGGATCGCCCCGCAGTGCGATCGTAAACTTCGGGTTGTGAGGAGGTGCTTGGCGAGAAGCCCTTGTCTGATGCGGGCGCCATTCGGTCTTGATAATCTTAGCACGGCTGATAGGTGCATGGAGAAATCCCAAACTCGCGATATATCCAACACTGTCCGGGGGTCCCGCGGCCCACCGGGAGGCCAATCGTGTCTCCTTCGATCCCCGCGGTCAACACGTTTGAATACAGCGTTTTTCAGGTGAACATGGATTGTGGAGCTATGAGGGAGATGAGCAGTGAGATTGTTAACCGTGGCGTCCGTTGTGGCAAGTGTTAAGTCGGGCCTGTCCCTCTACAGGAGGAATGTCCCACAACAGTCAATACATAGTCTGGGGACGATTTCTCTAATGTTTGTTTTGGCTGTGTTGGGGCATGTTCTGAGTGTGTTTAATTTTTCCTCCCAGATCCACCTGTAGGGGGACATGCCCGACCTGAGGCAGGTGCAGGTGCGGCAGGGGCGGGGACGGCGCCTTGACTCTGGAGAGGCGTGCTGGCACTCGAGCGCCAGGAGACGGCGTGAGCCTCGCGGGTCAAGCAGGAGGGGCGATGGGCACGCCACGCCTCCCTCGCCACGAGCTGCTGGCCGGGTGCTCCTCCGCCCTGGCTGCACCACCGTGCGGCGGCAGCTGCTTCAGGTGAGTGCTCCCAGGGGGCGCAGGAGAGCGGACGTGCTGCCTTCTGGGCCCGGAGGCCCCTCCGTGTTTCAACTTGGCATCGCTCGGACGTGTGCATTTTTTTCGGCGAGAACCATCGAGGACCATCCTGGACCATCGAGCAACGAAAAAACGCACGAAACCGAAAAATGCACGGAAATGGACGTCCGAGCGACAGCAAGTCAATACCTGCGAGTTCGAGAAGCCGACGACCCTCAGGCCGGAGACGAGGGCGGCACGTCGCGTTGGGCCTGGGCGGCGAGCTGCAACATTCCCGGAGCGCTGTGCACCTCAGAGGTGCTTTTGGCCAGATCGAACCGTACTTTTGATGGGTTTACATTGGTCCTCCTCCTCCTCCTCCTCCTCCTGCTCCTCCTTCTTCTTCTCCTCCTACTCCTACTCCTCCTCCTCCTCCTCCTCCTCCTCCTCCTCCTCCCCCTCCTCCTCGTCCTCCCCCTGCTCCCCCTCCTCCCCCTCCTCCTCGCTCCCCCTCCCTCGCGTGCCTCGTGCGCGGGGTGGGGGTGGCGAGGCCTCGCCCGGTGCCCGCGCCCCCGCTCCCCCGGGGGCGGGTGTTGGCGAGTGCCCGCGCCCCGGCGCCCGCCCGCGGGCGCCCCGCGGGGGCGCCTCGTGGACGACGTACGCAGCGTGTGCGCCTCGTGTGCGCCTCGTGTGCGCCTCGCGTGCGCCTCGTGGACGCGTGCGCCTCGTGGGTGCACAGTTTGCACGAAGCTTGCACGGCACAGCTTGCACCACACACGCAGCTCACGCTGCGGCGCTTGCACCGCACGGCGCTCGCTGCACGGCCTGCACCACTTCGCGTGCAGATCACGCTGCAGGTGCTTGCACTACTCAGCTTTCACTGCACAGCTGACGCCACAGAGCTTGCGCCACGCAGCTTGCACCACACGGGTTGCACCGCATGTGTTGCACTGTGCAGCTTGCGCCACACAGTTTGAACCACACAGCTTAGACTGTATACCTAGGTTCGACCACGCAGCTTACACAACCTAGTTTGCACCGCATAGCGTATACCACGTAGCTGGCACCACACACATTGCACAACATGGTCTGCACCGCAAACCTTGCACTGCATAGCTCACACTACATAGCTTGCATCACATAGCGCACACATCTTCAGTGCAAGAACTTGTTGGTTGTGGTCCACGCTGGCATCCACACGTAAAGCCCATTAGTGGGTGGTGGCTACCATTTTATCTGCGATATGTTATGCTAGCAGATCTGTCGCTCCAGCCACAGATGCCCTCGACTCTATTTCACGTGCGCCTGTTCTAGTAATGGTCAGGCCATGTGACACACCGTGCCCCCGCCCGTATGAGCATACATGCTGATAGTTATCTCGCGTCGGCGTCCTGCTTTCCGGCAGCAGGCGCCACGAAGAAAACAGGGTTTAGTCTGTGGAAAGCCCACCTCGGGATTTCGATCTCCGCAGTGGGATTGGCGTCGAGAGCTCCAGCTCCTTGGCATCACCCGTGTTATTGCGCTGTGGTTTTGAATTGAATCGTTCGCAAACCAACCTGCTCCCATGAGCAGAGTCTTCCAGCAGCACCCGAACGTAAATGGCCACGTGATAGGCGCGTCCGGACTGCATCGTCATCGGGGGCGTTTTGATTCGGAGACGGGGGCGTTGCTATTGTTTCTCGGTCGCGTAGCGGAACAGGCAGGCTTGGCAAGAGATATGGAACGCCGAGGAGTTTGGCCCAGAGAACAGCTCAGACGAGGCACGACCATAAGCTGCAGCTCGCCTCGCGGCGCGGATCTAGTTGCCGATCGTCCCCCCGCAGAGGCGCTAACAGAAGTCCACGCTTCGTGCCGCACCCCGCGGCCTGGGCCAGAGGGGACGCTCCTGCCCGAAGCTGCCGCGCGAGAGCGAGCGCGTAGAGCGCGGCATCGCTGCGGCGCGAAGCGCGAAACAAGAGGGGTACTCTGATGACGTCTCGCAGGGCCGAAGGGGAGGGCTGTCGATGGCACACCCGCCCCCCGTGCGTAAAGCGGGGCGCTTCCTGGCCACTCCTCCTCCTCCTCCTCCTCCTCCTCCTCTCCTCCTCCTCCTCCTCATCCTCCTTCTCTTTCTCCTCCTCCTCCTCCTCCTCCTCCTCCTCCTCCCCCTCCTCCTCCTCCTCCTCCTCCTCCTCCTTCTCCTCCTCCTCCTCCCCCTTTCCCCCCACGCCGCTTTCAGGCTGCCAGCCGAGCTTGCCTCGTCACGAGGCCGAGGCGCGCGTGTGCCGGGTGCTGCTCGCGTTCGAGTGGCGCAATTCCAACGCGCAGGCCCGCGGCATCCCAGGGGGCGGCCGAGGTGGGGGCGAGGGGTGGTCTGCGAGGGCCAGCCGGGTCGCAAGACGGTCAGAGATCAGAGACGACGGCGGCGGCTTGCGAAGGGGCCAGCCTCCTCCTCTCGTCAGGAGGAAACAACACAGACACAGATGAAAGAGCGCGTTCTGTGGGCGCTTGGAGGGAAAGAGGTTTGGGACCAGACCCCCCCCCCCTCCTCCCCTACTTCTCCTCTCTCCCTCTCCTCGACTCGGCGTTAGCGTTGGCGGCGGCTGGTGTCGCGGCGGGGAGCGTCGATGAAGACGACGACTTCTTTTTCTGGGACGGCGCCGGCGCCTGCGGCGTCTGGTGGCGGCGGCGGGGAGCGTCGACGAGGACGGCGACGACGACGATGACGACGACGACGACGACGACGCTCCGCCACCGTGCCTCGGTTTTGGCTCAGAGTCCTACTTGGGGTCTCCTCGGAGGGCTCTCGGGGACCTCTGAAGGGCATCTGTGAAGCAGCCTGGGCGCCCCTTGGGCGTCCCTTGGGGCCTCCCTGAGGTGGTGCTGGTGGTGGTGGTGGTGGTTGGCTGTGGTGGTGGTGGTGGTTGTGGCGGTGGTGGTGGTGGTGGTTGTGGTGGTGGTGTGGTGGTTAGTGGTGGTTTGTGGTGGTGGTGGTTGATGTGGTGGTTGTGGTGGCAGGTTGTGGTGGTGGTGGTTGTTTCGGTGGTAGTGGTGGTGGTGTTGTGGTTTCTGGTGATGGTGGTGGTGGTGGTAGTAGTTGTGGTGGTGGTGGGTTGTGGTGGTGGTGGTGGTGGCGGTGGTGGTGTGGTGGTTTGTCGTGGTGGTCGGAGTGGTTGTAGTGGTTGTTGTGGTGGTGGGTTGTGGTGGTGGCTGTGGTGGCGGTGGTGGCGGTGGTGCGGTTGTTTGTTATAATGATGGTAGTTTTGGTGGTGGTGGTGGTGGCTTGTGGTGGTCGTGGTGGCGGTGGTGGTGGTTGTGGTGTGGTGATTTGTGGTGGTGGTGGTGGTTGTGGTGGTAGTGGGTTGTGGAGATGGTGCTGGTGGTGGTGGTGGTGGCTGTGGTGGTGGCGTGGTGGTTTGTGGTGGAGTGGTGACTTTGGTGGTGGTGGTTGTGGGTGGTTGTGGTGGTGGTGGGCTGTGGTGTTGTGGTGGTGGGTTGTGGTGGTGGTGGTGGCGGTGGTGGTGTGGTGGTTGTGGTGGTAGTGGGTTGTGGAGATGGTGCTGGTGGTGGTGGTGGCTGTGGTGGTGGCGTGGTGGTTTTGTGGTGGTGGTGGTGGTGATTTGCGGTGGTGGTTGTGGGTGGTTGTGGTGTTGGTGGTGTCGTGGTGGTGGGTTGTGGTGGTGGTGGTGGTTGTGGTGGTGTGGTGGTTCGTCGTGGTGGTCGGAGTGGTTGTAGTGGTTGTGTTGGTTGTGGGTTGTGGTGGTGGTGGTGGTGGTGGCGGTGGCGGTGGTGTGGTTGTTTGTTATAATGATGGTGGTTTTGGTGGTGGTGGTGGTGGTGGTGGTTTGAGGTGGTGCGGTGGTGGTGGTTGTGGTGTGGTGGTTTGTGGTGGTGGAGGTTGTGGTGGTGGTGGTGGGTTGTCTAGATGGTGCTGGTGGTGGTGGTGGCGGTGGTGGTGGTGTGGTGGTGTTTGGTGGTGGTGGTGATTTGCGGTGGTGGTTGTGGGTGGTTGTGGTGGGGGTGGTGGTGTTGTGGTGGTTTGCGGTGTTGGTGGCGGTGGTGGTTGTGGTGTGGTTTGTGGTGGTGGTGGTGGTGGTGGTGGTGGTGGTGTGGTGGTTTGTGGTGGTGGTGGGGGTGGGTTGTGCTGCTGGTAGTGAGCGGTGGTGGTGGTTGTGGTGTGGTAGAATGTGGTGGCGGTGGTATTGGTGGTGGGTTGTGGGTGGTTGTGGTGGTGGTGGGTTGTTGTGGTGGTGGTTGGTGGTGGTTTGCGGTGGTGGTGGTGGTTGTGTGGTGGTTTGCGGTGGTGGTGGTGGGTTGTGGGGGTGGTGGTGGTAGTGGTGGTTGCGGTGGTGGTGGTGGTGGCGTGGTGGTTTGTTGTGGTGGTGGTGGTGCTTGTGGTGGTGGGCTGTGGTGTTTGTGGTGGTGGTGCTACTGCTGGTGGTGGTGGTTGTGGGTGGTGGTGGGTGGTGGTCGTGGTGGTGGTGGTGATGGTGGTGGTGGTGTGGTGGCTGGTGGTGGCCTCGGTGGTGGTGGGTTGTGGTGGTGGTGGTGGCGGTGGTGGTGATGGTGGTGGTGGTGGTGTGGTGGTTTGTGGTGGTGGTGGTCGTGGTGGTTGTGGTGGGTTGTGGTGGGTTGTGGTGGTGGTGGCGTTTTTGGTGGTGGTGGTGGTGTAGTGGTTTGTGGTGATGGTTGTGGTTATGGTGGTGGTTTGTTGTGGTGGTTGTTTTGGTGGTGGTGGCGGTGGTGGTGGTAATGGTGTGGTTGTTTATGGTGGGGGTCTTCCCGCCACCGTGTTTTGGCTGTGGGTCAGCAGGTGGTGGTGGTGGTTGTGATGGGCTGTGGTAATTTGTGGTGGTGGTGGTGGTGGTTGTGGCGGTGGTGGTGGTGGAGGAGTGGTAGTTGGTGTTGGTGTTGGTGGTGGTGGTTGTTGTGGTGGTGGATATGGCGATTTGTGTTTCCCTCTTCGGCCCTTGGGCCCTCTCTGGTCATCGTCGCTGCGTTCCCGCCGTCGGCGCTGCTGGCCGCCGCCGGCGCCAGCGCTGGCGCCGCGGGTTTGGACCCACCCTCCCTTGGGCCCTCTCTGGTCATCGTCGCTGCGTCTGCCGTCGGCGCTGCTGGCCGCCGCCAGCGCAGGCGCCGGCGCCGGCGCCGGCGCCAGGGGGAGGGGGGGGGTTAAAACCCCCACCCCTCCTGGGAGGGGGGGGGGCGGTTTGGGAGGGGAAGGGGTTTAAGGGGGAGGGGAGTCCCCCTGGTTCTCATCGACGGCGCCGAGTGTTGGGGGGGGGGGGTCCAAGGCAAGCACATGTTCCCAAGGCAAGCATGTTCCCACATGTTCCCAAGGCAAGTACACGTGAAACGCGCTCTCTTATACATATGAACGTCGATTCCCTCGAGAATATGGGAAAATATGGGAGGTGGGGGGGAAGACGAAAACCCATAACATTTAAAAAACAGAGCGAATCCTGGGACTTGCGTTTATTTATCTATGTGTCCCAGGGTCCCGTCATCTCGACACTCCTCGGGTGGACCCCTGCTCCCTCTCTCCCCCGTGTCCCGCTCCTGCTCCAACTCCCCTCCTCGTCTCCCGCACCCATCCCCGCCGCCCATCTGCTCCATTTCCTCTGCCCGCCTGCTGGCGTGTGTGTGACGTACCTGTGGCCGCACCGTCATCGAGGGGTTTCCCTTTATCTTGAGGGCTCTTGCTCTTATACCCGAGGGTCGCCACCTTTCCGCCCTGTTGCAGGCCAGCTTCGCCTCGCTATCGTCGCACCTCTCTTCGTCTCACACCTCTCCTCCCTCCTTTGCCGTGTCGTTGCTGATATATTTTGTCGCTCTTGGCGTACTCGGCGGTGCTCCGTTTCGCGTCACAGATCCAATAAGCTGTTTGACGGACGGGGGATCACCCCCATCAGGTCGCTTGTCTTCATCCCCGTCCCTTCCCTCCGTCCTCTTACTTTGGGGACGATGTCAGAAACGGGAAGCATCATGGGTGCTTGAGGAGGAGGTGGTGGTGGCCACTGCAAAAGGGAAACAAATCCCGAGTAGAGCAACACGTACCACGACCATGACAACGCCGCCGACGACGACGACGAAGACGACAACGACGGAGGCGAGGCGAAATCGGCCCGGAACCGATAACCATGCAGGAACCCAGGAACCCGGGAGCCCAGCCGGCAACCAAAATCGGCGGGAAATTTTCGCCAATGCCGGCGCTGATTGAGGAAATGCAGTGGGGGCCCATGCCAAGGCACACCCTGGTTGCCTCCAGGGTGCCCTGGTTGTCTTAGGATTCGATGGTTTCTGCGGTGGAGAGCGTGACGTCCCCGCACCACAGATCAATGGACATCCTGGGGCCTCAGGGTTGGGTTTCTTGTGGAGGGCTTCTTGTGGAGTGGCCTCCGCTGTAACAGATTGCCCGAGGGGGACATGAAGCACGCGTCCGATGTTGGCAAGATGGCGCCATCCGTCTGTTGAGGTGCTGCAAGGCTTGAGTGGTGGAGTATGACACACGCGCAGGGTCGAATCCACAGCCCCTTGTTTTTGGCAAGGGCCTAGCCTCCGCGTGTGCCCTGTCGGACTTTTTAGGGTGCCCTTCAAAAAATAGCCTCGTCTGGACATCAATGGAACCCTTTTGATTTGGACCGCGTGTGCCCTTCAAAAAATAGCCGCCATTCCGACATGTCCCATTTTCGGACCGAAGGACCACATGGCGTCTCACGTGCGAGCCACAGTCTGAAACAGGCGCCGCCCGCAACCCGTGTACGTATCGACGTAAATTGTGACGAATGCACAGAGCGTTCAGGCGAGAGCCATGTGGGGAACCTGAAGCGCCTTCAGTCCGTGTGATTTCTGCAAACGTTTAAGACGAATGTGCGCAGCGCTGAGGCGATAGTTGTATTCTGAAAACCAACACAGCTTCATCCGCCCAAGTGCTGGATTTTTCAAGGCGAATGGGTGCGGCGCCAACACAGAAAGAGCGAGGGAGAGAGAGAGAGAGAGAGAGCCATTCGGTCTGGGAGTCACCTCCTTTCCATCCGCGAAGCTGCTGGGCATTACAAGCTCCAGGCTCAGAAGTGTAAGGAAGTTTGATGCGACACGCCCAGTCCTACTGACACGTCTGGTAGCGCGACCAGGCGGAAGCGTTTATGACATGTCGGCGCCGTCAGTGGGATCAAGCTGGAGGGATGCCAGCAGGGAGCTGAGCGAGGTTGCCCGCGGAAGGCCCCAGAGGTGGTTGCCGCCCAGAGGGGCGCGGGACGTGCGATGTTTTTCGGGAGGCTCCAGGTCTCCTAAGATGAGGCCGGAGTGGAGGGGGTCGGAGGACTGCGCCGCATCGCCAAGCCACCAGGGCGGCAGCGGCGATGCGGCTCGATGTGGGGCCACATTTTCTTCACGACGACGTCGCGGATGTACGGTTGGTCGGGCATGTCCCCCTGCAGGCGGATCTTGGAGGACAAAGTTAAACATAGGCTTAAAACTATTCCAAAGTCATCAGCAATCCTTTAAACAACATCGTCCCCAGTGCATGGCCGATGCATCGGCGTTGCGGCGAGGTATCCGTCGACGCCGTCCGCTTGGACCCCATCTGCACAGGGCCTCTATAAAGAGGCGGGGGTCCCCCTTCGGGGCACCCGCGGGGGCGCGAAGCCGGCTTCGCTCCCCGATCTGGACTCCAGTCGGGCCCGTCCCTCTACAGGAGGGGCGTTCAAAGATAGTCGGGGGACGATGCTGTGACTATTCTTGAGCATGCTGCCGGTATGGTGTTTTGTGACCAGTTTTGATGTTTTGTCCAGAGCCCGCCTGTAGGGCGACACGCCCGACCCAAATCTGGACCTGAGAGACGCTCTTCTCGGGGGGAGGGGCTCCACCGACGGCCCCAGTGGCAGGGTTCGCATGGCGGCCCCGCCTCCTTTTGGCGCACCCCTCACGAGGATCGTGGCCCCACAGGGAGCTCCACCGAGGGCCCCAGTGGCAGGGCTCGCATGGCGGCCTCGAGCCACTTCGGAAAGCCACTCACGAGGATCGTGGCCCCACAGGGAGCTCCACCGAAGGCCGCCGTGGCAGGGTTTGCACGGCGGCCTCGGCGCACGCGGCGCGGAGCGCGAGGCTGGGAAGCCCGGCGCTCGCGCGCGCGGCCCCCCCCCCCGGCAGCGCAGGTCCGCGGGCTGGGCGCCACCTACACGCAGGGCATGAACTACATCGCAGGAGGGCGAACCTCCTCCCCCCTCCTCCTCCTCCTCCTCCTCCTCCTCCTCCTCCCCCGTCCTCCTCCTCCTCCTCCTCCTCCTCCTCCTCCTCCTCCTCCTCCTCCTCCTCCTCCTCCTCCTCCTCCTCCCCACTCCCTCCCTCCCTCCCTCCCTCCCTCCCTCCCTCCCTCCTCCTCCCTCCTCCCTCCCTCCCTCCCTCCTCCCTCCTCCCCTCCTCCCTCCCCCTCCCCTCCTCCCTCCTCGCCTCCCTCCCTCCTCCTCCTCCTCCTCCTTCTCCTCCTCCTCCTCCTCCCTCTTTCTCTTCCCGCCTCTCTCCTCCCTTATCCTCCCTCCTCCCTCCTCCTCCCTCCCTCCCTCCTCTCTCCTCCCTCCTCCTCCTCCTCCTTCTCCTCCTCTTCCTTAGCATCATCATCATCATCAGCATCATCATCATCATCATCATCATCATCAGCAGCATCATCAGCAGCATCAGCACCAGCATCAGCATCAGCATCATCATCACCACCATCATCAATAACATCCTCATCCCCATCCCCATCAGCATCATCCCCTCTGAGCCGACGTCGCCCGCCGCGCTCGTCACGGCCTGTTCACCCTCGCGCCACCGTGCCATTGTGCGGAAGTTGGAGCATATACATCACCAGTGGCGGGCGGTTCTTCAATCCCAGGACTTTTTTGAGGGTCGGGGACGACGTCGGGGTGGTGTGGTGCATACTTGTTTCTCCCTTTTCCCGAGGAGACAACGACAAATCTATACACCAGGGTCCCGTATACACCAGGATCCGCGTTCTTGTGCGAATTTCAGCGCAGGGTCGGACAAAAGCGTTGGTGTATAGAGTTCGATTCCCGAATTTTTGCCTTTCTCACGGGAGCCGAAACGACAGCCCGCAGATATTGCAGCCCGGATGTTACCCCAACCGATGCAGTCCGCCGCCATATTTTCCCGTTCTTTGTCTCCCTCCGCTCCAAGCCTTGCGCGCCTGGCCGGCCGCTGGTGCCCCCTCCCGGCTGCTCATCGTCGAGTTCTTCGACGTCTGAGTGTCCCTTCTTCTTCTCGGCCGTCCCCCCCCCCTCTTTGCCCGCTGGCCAAGTCGCCAGTTGGTGCCCTTTCTAGCCCTTCGCTGGAGCGGAGTTCGCCGCGTCGCCGCTGACGAAACAATCGTCTCCCTCCGCTCCTCCTCTCCTCCTCTGCCCTTCGCCCCTCCGTCTCCTCCTCCTCGTCTCCAGCTCCTGGGGCTGTCTGCCTCGGCCCTGCCTCGGGCTGGCCGGTTCCGCGGAGGTGGCAGCTTTTCTACCGGGCGTATGAGTTATTGCTGCTGCTGTCGGGTCTAAAGAGACGGGGGTCAATGCAAACGGGGGTCGGCCAGAGCGCTGGATCTTGCAGGATCCTGCAGGGCCAGGGTCGCACTGATTCGGGCTTGGGCGCAGGATCCTGCAGGATCTTGCAGGATCCTTCGCGTTGATCCGGGTTTGGGTGCAGGATCTTGCAAGGATTCTGCAAGGCCTGACTGGCCCGGGTCTGGATTGACCCGGGCCAGAAGATCCCCAACGCTTGCAGAACATTGTCTTACCGTACAGGTTGGGCCGTGCATGGATACCGTATTGGTTTCGGGGTGAAAAGGCCCCCCTGCAAAATGACAGCGGGCGAACACTCAAACCAGCTGCATTACACTTCGAGTTCCTCCTTTTCTATGCTCTCTCTCTCTCTCCCTCTCTCTCTCTCCCTCTCTCTCTCTCTCTCTTAGGCTCATCCTCTCTTCGTCTCTCTCTCTCTCTCTCCCCTCTCCTGCTCCGTCATCCTCCTTCTCCCCCCCCGCCCCTCCTCCCCTTCCTGCTCGCTCCACCGCATCCAGAAAAGTACAGAACATTGGACACAATGAGGAAAGCAGGCACATCAATAACAACAACACTACATGCTGTGTTTTCGGAGGGTACAGGCTGCACAGGCTGCGAGGCGGATCCGTCCGACACTGAATGGTATTGCGTTTTGCTGTGAGGTACATGTTTGTTTGTTGGTTGGGTTCCTGTCAGTTCCTTTTCTCTGCTCATCGCCTTCTCGCTCCTCTGGCGCTGAACCCTTTCGGGGCTCATGCCAACCGCGCTGGGAGCGCAAAACCCTTCGGGGTTCGTGCCATGTAAGCTTCGAGTCAAGAATCCTTCAGGGCTCGTGCCAACCGCGTGGGAGCGCAGAACCCTTCGGGGATCGTGCTCTCATGTTCTCTGACGTTGAACCCTTCGGGGCTCGTGCCGCGGGACCTGGTGTATGGATTTTACGATCAAGCGTTTGTTGCGCGTTGGAAGCAGGGAACTCTGGGCTTTTATCGCATGTGTTCTCTGTGTGTTGGATGTCGTTGGTTTCGACGCAGTGTCGGTTCCTTGAGGCTTCCCAGATTTGTATTTGAAATGTATGCTCCGCAAACTTTGCACACCGCCGCCCAAATCAATAGAAACGCAGGAACCCAGAAATCTGGCATAACCCTGCGCGCCAACGTTGCGCCAGAATGCCAGTCGAACCCGCATGGTTCTATGTGTCCAGACAGCACGATGGAAACATGCATGTCGCAGAATCGGCTGGAACTCGGCAACCGGCGTTCGAAACACAGGAATCCGCGCAAGCAGGCGTTGAGGAAGAGGAGGCGGAAGCGGTGGAAGCGGAGGCTGGCTAGTAGGCTTCTTGCAGTCGCAGCCCAAATTCAAATCATCAAACCACAGATCGTTGGTTTCATGTGTCCCTTGGCTTTTGATAAGTTCGCGCGCTCTGCGAAATCTGCGTTTTCAGCATTACGCTCTGGGTGTACACGTCGTCCGTCTTGTACTGTTGCGTTCCTTTTCCGTCCGCTAGTGGTGTTTCTTCTTGTGCTGCCCGTGCTCCCCAATCGTGCTGCTGACCGCGGTGCTGCTGCTGGTGCTGCTCATGCTCCTGATGGTGGTGGTGCTGCTGGTGTTGGTGGTGCTACTTCTAGTGATGCTGCTGGCGCTGCTGATGTTGGTGCCATTTGCGCTGCTGTTCTGGGGTACCGCGCTGCTCGAAGGACTTTGTACAAAAACCAAGGGCATCCAAAAACGGGGAGCCCTAGCCACCCCACAGGGACCGACGCCGACGTTCACCCCTGATGGAACATCGCATTCCTGATCCCTTGCCCGCCCTCCCTCCGCGAAGCCCTGGAGTGTTCGAACGGCTCAAGTTGTTTGATCGCAGTCTGGTCGCACGCTCATTTCGCGCCTACGCTTCTCTTGTGCTGTCGACATGGCGATGGAGGGCGTGATCCTCCCCAATAGACCCCCCGAAACTCTCGGGGACGCCGTTGGGGACGAGAGTACAAACTTCCGCGCAGCGAAGCCCCAGTTCGACGTTGGCTTCCCGCACGGCCACGTTTGGCAAGAGTGGCAGTCGAAGATCGCTGACCTTCCTGCGCCCATGAAGGTCCACGCGGTCACCGCGATTTCCTATTTGGGGGACTTATTGATCCACCAGGCTGCGGGGAGATCCAGGGCTCCGACGGGACAGCGGTCTACGTCCTCAGTGGCTGGAAGGACGCCCGGGGGCAACCGTGCTGATTGGACGTTGTCAAGGACCTGGCGACGAAGTTCAATTTCCATCCTCAAGAGCAGACTTGGCGGGCCAGACGTCACGCAGATCTTCGTCGCGGGCGTTGGCGAGGGTGCGGTGCGCATTCTTGCGGACGTTGGCCTGCAAGGCCAGTTCCTGATGGCGCCCAAGTGCGAGCATGCATCATGGCACAGGCGTGGCGTGCCAACATGGGAATCAGCACAGGGCAGGCCGCTATGCGATCTATTAGCCTCTGGAGGAATTAGGCAGCCTGCAGATTCGCATTCCCGCACTTGCATCTACGGTGAAACCTGCCGAACGTTCGACCGAGTGAGATAAGAAGCTCGAGGGCACTGTCGCGTCGAGAATCAGGGCTCGAATAGCCGCGGCCGCGACCAGTTCGTGGATTTCGCGGGCGGGGCAGAACGGCGGGGGAATGCGGCGCCATCTGGTTGGCTTTGTTGCCTCCTCGGCCGCGCGGACCTCGTGGCCGCGGAGCGATGGCGGCTAGGCAGGCGGCGCCCATGCCCCCCCGCCCCCGGCAGACCAGCGACCCGCAAACAAACGTCTACGGCTGGGAAGGGGCCCCGCCTAATCCAGGCGTTGCGGGGCCGCGCGAGCGGTCGCGTCAGCGCCGAGCGCCCCGCTCGCTCTGTCTGCGCGCTCGCGCTGAAGGGCTTCTAACCGCGATTCATGGGCGAGCTACCCGCGGAAATCTCGCCGGCGCTGCGCCGCGCTGGCGTGCTCTCGGCGGGGCGCGGGCGGGGGGGCCGACGGCGCCAGAGACCACTGCGTTCTTCGTGGCTGCGCTTGAGATCGGGGGGGGCGCGCCCGAGCCCCCCGTCGTCGCCGCCGAGCATTCTGATTTCTCCGAGAGCGAGCCCGCGGAGAGGGCGTTGCCCGTGGCGTTCGACGACGGGCACCTGCGCGCGCAGGGCACGTCCGCGTTGAAGCCCTTCCCCAACCGAAGCGAGTGGGGTTCCATCCCGCGGGCGAGGCGCGGGCCCGGCGCGCTCGCCCCAGGAGGGCGCCCCGCCTGGCCGCGAACGACAGGCGCGACGAACATTGGAGAAAAGGTCGGCTGCGCCTTTGAGCCCAGGGGAGCAGTGGGGATCGCGCCCCAGCAACTCGCAACCCCCGTCGCTCCCTCCATGACGCAGATCACAGCAGAAGAGGGCATGGCGGTCCTGTTCGCGAGGGCCCGCGCCGTCGCGACCACTGGCCGCGACCACTGACGCTCGCGCGCACTTCCGCTGAGAGCCCCGCGAGTTCCCGGGCGGCGGAGCCGCGCCCGTCGTGGTTTCTGGATGTCGCGAAGCGTTTGGCACGAAGCGATGTCGCGCCCACCGCGTCGATCACTCGCGGGATCTCGCTCTTCAGGCGGCCCGCGCGCGGCGCCCGGCCAAGTTTCGCGCCCCCGCTGGCGGGCGGCTCAGGCAGCGGCGCGG